TCATCCCTTATAATACTATTCCATACAGACCATTAAAACTACTGGTAGCTATGAATTGCTACATTATCAAAGTAGTGAGGATTCTACTATTTTTCATGTCAAGTTTTTAGTTCCCTCAAATTCATTTATGTCACAAATAGGTACAGGTGAATTAAGAGATTCTGCACCATTCAGAAAAATACTATAAAAAATTATTACAAGTTACAAAATCTTTTGACAATGCTACAGGAGTGTTAGGAATTACTTAAAAATCAGTACAAAATATTCCAAATGCATATAAGGCTCAAATACAATTAAGTGTAACCATTTCACTCTGATAAAATAATTATGTTCTACAATGTGTAGCTGTGAAACTTGAGTATTAACACCCGCTGCTTATACTGTAGCAGGACTGCTTTTAAAAGAAGCTGGTAGCTTAGAATATAGCCAGTACAAAGATTGATGCAGACTGATTGAAGCTAAGGGTGAAAAATGAGAATTAGCCACCTGTTTGAAAATGGCATTCTATGTGTTTGTCCTGAATCCTTGAGATTATAATTCTTAGGAATGCTTACAAAGTATTTAAATCTGCGTATGTTCCAATATATAAGAGTTAAGAATGAATTTATAAAGAAATAACTGTTTTGCCATTAAAGCTTTTAATGAGAAGGGCTTGTAAATAAAGACAACAGTAAATTTAAGTTGTGCCTGAAGGTTTTAATTTTGGGGCAATGTTTCTCTCTCTATTTGTGTCTCTTTCTATGATGACAAACTAGAATATCGATATTTCAGATGCTTTAGTTCATGATAAATTTTAACATTTGACGTTCTTTATCTTAGGTCCCTGACATAACTCGCTGATTTAGACAGCGTATGTGTGACATTCCACAATCTCCTAAAAGTCTGGCAGATGCTGAACTTTCTATGTATTGTATTGTTGGAAAATTTTGAGCATGCTCAAAATTTCTCAACGTACTTGCAGTATGTTGAGATGTGCCAGCGTTTTCCAGCCTGCTTTAGTGTACTTCAGCGTGCTCACAACTTATACAAAATGTACCCATAAGTTATCCAAGGTATGGCAGCGTTTTTTTGCCTGATTTTTCATACGTCAGGCATACACTGGTCTAAATGGTCAAGGTCAAGTCTTGACAGGGGCTTTAGAAAAGTTCCTTCAACCTAAGGATCAAACTGTGGATCATATATTTAACCTTAGACACAAAA